ATGTCCAGAAAACACCTTATTCTTTTAATACACCTGTCTTGGAGTTCTTTCTCCCTCTTCTCAAAAAGCGGAGTTCTTCAATTCGGAGCTAGGCTGGTCACCCTTCCAACAGAGCCAACTGTTTCTTTCTCGTGTACGTTTTATAGGAAATTAACGCTCCATGAAATTAAGGTATCGGAAATTAACGCGACTTAAATTAACGCGAATTTAATGGAAAACGACTTTCGAATAAAGAAAATTAACGCGAAAGAGGAGGTAGAATTTCATAGTAAAGGAAATTAACGCGATTAAGACACAGTTGGTGGTGACGATTTGAAATCTATCTTGGCCGAAATCAAAGGAGAAGATATTGACATCACTTCTGACAGCGACAACGATGAAGATGAACTCGAAATATTGTAAACCTTCGCCTTAGCTTTTCTGAAAGATGAAAAATAAAGGGTAAATGGAAAGAAAGGAAGCTTGTAGTTAATGTTTTTCAGGTGTCAAGAATGTCTGGTCAGGTTCCAAAATTGGGGTTAAAATACTGGAAATTAACAGCGCGGAAATTAACGCTGCACTTAATTAACGTCGCGGAAATTAACGCTCAACAAAATTAACGCGAATTTTAACGATTCGCGTTAATTTCATGGAGCGTTAATTTCCTACAATAAGGTAAACGGTTTGCTGCGTTTTGTAAGAAAATGTATAAAACGTTGGCTCGCCCAGCGTAGCTCGGGTTTGGCGAGTGACCCTTATCCTCGGAAAAATTGTTTTCGCATAGCGGAGGCTCATTAACCCAGCAGCTTATTGCAATGGTCGGTTCAATGTCGCAAAACTCTTGCATATTTGGTCGACAATAGCTGGTTATGATGAATTGTGCGTAAGATTTTAGCCAATCAGAAACGGAGAAATATTTTGAATGAATAATAGATATATTGAACTAATTGACTTCCTTAATTTCTCCATATCAGCTTTGAAATGTTGTGTAGCATTCTAAGAAAGACTGAATTAAAGTTTTTTCTTGCTATTAAACCAGATTCATCGATCAAGCCAGATGTTTGAACACAATATATGGACCCGGTTCCTCGAAAGATGGTTAAAGTTTAACCCAGGATTAAGCCAAATTTCAAGCACGGTTTTCTAGTCCAAGAACATGCTACTCGAGGTTACAAAATACTGTTGAGCCTTTACTACGAGACACAGAAATGATAACACAAAATGCTACCCTAAGCATTGCATAGGAATGTGAAGTAAAAAAAAAAAAACGAAATAAAATGTTCAGGATCCAGGCGCAGAAAAAATTCCTTGTTACTTGTGGGTCTTCCGGGTGTGGACTCCCAGGTGAAAGGGGTCGGAATATCCGGCGTCAGAAAACTGAAATTAAACCCCAAGGGTGTGGGTGTGACCCCTAAAAGATCGGACTTTCTAAAACAGACATCCAAATAAGAGCTGTTTATAGTAGTTTAATTAATATAAAAAATTTATCATTTGTTATTCGCTATGGAACTTGAGAAATTACTAGTTTGTTTAGGGTCGAACAAATATGTCTCCTAAGCATTATATCAAACGTTGAACAACAAAAATGAACTTTGAAAAACTGTGCACGTTAGGCTAACAAGTTTTCAAAAACCAAAATTGCAATCCGTTTCAATCTACTCAAAAATGCTAAAGCAAATTAATATAACTTTTATCATAAGTAAGTTTTTGAATTCTAATTTCGGTAAATTTGTAGCAATTTTACGACAAGTGTCCATTAAATACAGGTTTGTAACTACAGAGATGACCTTTGCATCTGCGTCTGCCTAATAGAGGTGTCCGTTTAAATAAGGGAAATAAATTTGGAGACTTTGGCTACTGTCCCCTTAATAGTGGGTGTCCGCTTAATACAGGTTTCACCGGCTGTATGGAAATCTGATGATAATCTTGAGCTGTAGTCTAAGTTAAACTTTGGTTATTTGAGTTTCAATCGTCGAAGTCAGTGGCTGTGCTCTGTCATTGTCAGCGCTCCGTGTTGAAACACCTTTTTATCTCAAAGTCGTTGAGGAATGAGATTATTCTTTAATATGGCACAAATTCGTTTGGAAAAAGGCAGCAGTTTTCGCAGATTAAGCACACGAAAGGCAAAACAAGAATCAACTATATTCTAGCTAGATAACTATAAGATCTTCTAGCACATATCGCATTTAAAGCAACATATTTTGTTGATGGAAGTTGAACTGCAGTTTAGGATCACAAATTTTTTTCCCCTGTTTTCTAATTTCAACAGACTTTTGACAAACTTGTTGAATTAAATGATTCTTAATTGTCGATTTCTTTCCACGTTCGAAAAAGCAACGGCCGCAAGCCCACCAATGATCTTTTCTTCTTGAGTTGCATCTGTTTGCTACGCCACGTGGAGCGGCAATCATTGATTGTTTACTGAACAACTTCATCAGACCAGGGATTTCATGTTGCTCAACAGCGCAGAGGATTCTTCGTTCGCGATTGAAGTGCGCTGTTACCTGAAAAACAAATATTATATCATTCCCACCGTTGAATCATTATCATTATAATTACATGTATCATTGTTGTTTTAATTATTAGTATTATCATCATCATCATCATCATCATCATCATCATCATCAACTTCTTCATTATTATTATGATTATTAAGATTATGATGATGATGATGATTGTTGTTAGTTCACACGGTTTGCTTGGTCTTCCAACCGTTTCATTTCCTGGTACCAGGTGACCCCAATCACCTTGGGTATCCATCACCTTTGTTATGATTCTAGCTGTTCACAGTTAATAAGCTTTCTGTAATGGCTATATACTTCCGCCCAGTCCTGCTTTCTCTAGATACACGTGAAATCTTTTGCTGATTGTTCCGAGGGCACCTTATTTTTAGGATTAAGAGGACTAATACCCTCACGCAAGAATATCTAGTGTTCGATATAATTATAAGTCTGTTTGTAAGATTTTGTTTTGAAATGACCCATCCTCCCCCCAATAATTAAAAATGGTGCTCCATCGTAGGGGGAACGGGAAACATAACTGATCCGTTATTCATTGTCATTTTGCTGCACAGACGGAGAACGGATGTTTTATGAGTCAAATGAGTCAATGAGTCATGAGTCATAAGTCAATGAGTCAATGAGTCAGATCTGAAAAAATAAAAGTTTCGGTAGAAACAATAAAATTAAGCATTACTTTTACTTAATTTGTCTACTTGCTTCATTGCTGCCTGCACATGCAAGGCCTATTTTTGACATGAAATCTCAACCTGGGCTGTTTGTTAGCAGTATCCCAGGCCCCGCCGCTGCTACTACGAGCATGCCCCGGAAAATAGCCTTCCCAGACACCCTTCAAGAACTATTTAAACCATCAGACAATCCATACTACTAGAGTTTCCATACCAGAAGTGGAGTGCTGCCCCAAGGTTGCTCATATTAGTTGATGCACGAGTTTTAAACAGGCGAGCTAATGTAAATAAACACTAACATAATGCAAACAATGAATGCCCAAAGATTTTAATCAATCAACGAGCCTTGAAAGCTATTAAAATTACAGTGGTTATACAGTAATACCACAACAATAATTATTCGTACACTGTATGTTTCTAATATAAACACTGACTGTGTACAACTGTTCGACTCACTGTTTCATACCCCTTCTCGGGCAAATTACAATTCAGTTTGTTCGCCTCGTAGCATCATTCACTTTTTGATTCAAGTAAAACTGATTGGAAAAAGTGGTGAACTACATTGGGAAGATTATCAACTGAAAACAACTCTGCTATTGATTGTTGGAACGGAAGCTTAGTGTCCTGGATCGTCTTCATTGTGTTCATGATCGACAGCGATCCACAGCATGAAAGAAAATTGTATTCCCCTTGATAAGATTCCTCGCTAAAACCTAATGAATACTTCCCGGAATACTTACTTTTACACCAGCATGACAAGCTAATGAGTAACATACCGATAAAGATATAAAAGTGGAACTTTCCTTGGCACTCATGACCGATTTTCTACTTCAAACCGGGCCCAAACATCAACACACCGGATATCAAAGAACGACTGTTCCCAGATTTGAGTCTTTGAGAGCTAAGAAATTCCATAATAGGTTTATCTCAATTTACTTTAAGCGCTGTGTTCAAAGGGAATTAAAGACTTTCTTCCGAAGCACTCACAAAATTTAGGCTGGCTTATTTTTCGCTTCTGCTATGCGGCAGGGCCTGGGAACTGCCAACAAACAGCCAAGGTCGAGGTCGAGATTAGGCCTTGTGCAGGAAGCAATGAAGGAAGTAGACAAAATAAGTAAAAGTAATGCTTAATTTTATTGTTTCTATCGAGACTTTAATTTTTTCAGATCTGACTCATTGACTCATTGACTCATGATTCATGACTCAATGACTCATTAATACCTTACACTCCCACAATAATGACGTGGGACTCCATTTTTCGATTGGGCTTTGCCACCAGGCAGCCCACTAACAAGGCATAGAGCAGAAACAGTGTGAAGATATTTTTAAGGTAGAAGCATCAGCGTAATGGCTGTGAGTACTAAATACGCACCATGCTTTTGTCTAAAACAGTGTGTGGTTGAAACACGACTTTGTCCGAGGGGACAACGACCTCATCGTCCACATCATTTAAGAAGACAGACATGCGTGAAAGGGATTTGGATGCTAAGTGATCCTCCATATTGAAGCAGAAATCCTCACACGCTTTTCCAAGAAACGAAATTTCTCCTGGGGATATGAAGAGAATGAGTAAAGACAATTCAGTAAGGAAACGTACAGGGGCTATATATTCCGGGGTCGGGGAGAAGAGGAAGTCCAACAAGAACAGCGAGCGACTAGAACAGAAAAGGAAACGAGGAATATAGTATTTTTTCGTGTCTCCACTTTATCTCATACTCGGATCTCGCTTCAGTTCGACACTCTCCCACTCTCCCCTATTTTGCGCTTATTACTCTACAACTCTTGTTATCGTTCCAGGCTAGATTCATCGAGCTCAAAAACACGGAAAGGCATTTACTAAAAGAAACTTTACCGTGAAAAAGCACCTAGCAAATGAACTGTGAGGCAAGGGAGTTTCAGCAACGAGACAAATGATATCTATATAATTCTACATCCGGATGATCTCTGTTTTCTTCTGTTATATTCGGAAAATGTTAACCATTGCTATCACAAAACTATAACACCGCTAACGTTTAGTTTTCACACAACCGCCCGAATCACTTCCATCGTCTTAACAGCGTCATATGGAACGATTAGAGAGATCGAAATGATCGGGAATGTTTTTTAAAAAAACAGGCTATATTCAAATCTTAGTTTTATCCGAGCGACCGCGATCTCCTGGATTGTGAGTACCGTTCTGTATCGCATAAGAGGTGTTCTTTACGTTATATTCTCGATCGAAACGGTTCGACTTAATAGATGAAGAGCAAGATTATTCTAAGAACAAAGGGAACTGCAGATTATGGAAAACAACGACAACAGAGGTCTAGCGGAGGTGCAGATATCACTCCTTAGCTTATTACGGCAGTAAACGCGAAAGACTACTAAAATATAAACGTGTGATTTTCAACTAGCCTGACCCCCCCCCCCCCCGCCTCCTTTCCCTCCCCTTACAAGATGGTAGACACAGAAAATAGAAATAAAGACCAATGTGGTCGTATAGCCGGCGAAAGCTTCATTTGACCCCCCAAAAATTCATTCTAAAACTGAGAGAGCCAAGGTATCGCAATTTTTACTTCTACCTGGCTCATTGTCTCACCCTAACCTAGCCTGTGCCAGGCTCTCAGATAGTATAGTGGGAACGTATTAAAACGAGTAAAGCGAAAATAAGACGCGCACGACTCGGGAAAGGGGGCGGCTGGAACAGGCTAACCCTAACCGAGACGAAGAGCTACCCCCTTGCGGTGGCAACAGTAAGGGATTTTACGACAGTAAAACACTGATTGCCATTTGGGGACACTTAGCACAATCGATCCTCCTATTCAGGGTAACAATGCTCAAATCTTTTATAGACTTCCCACTTACAAAAGCTCTATGCTCTTTACCTTCATCATTGATTGTCAAAGATGAATTAGGCTTTGTTATCTTGCACTGAATTCGTTGCACCTTTGAGGACCTAGCGACTAAATAAAATATTTAGCGATTATTTAGGTTCTGATTTCACGATGCTCGATTAGCAGAAGCTATTCACTTTTATGTCAAGATAGGTGCCTCATATTTCAAAGACAGTGCATTTACATGCAAAGGTCTAAGCTACAATTGTAGGTACGTGAAAGGAGAACCGAGTACGGGCACTATTCAGTGCAACAAATCTCGACCTTTTGAAAACCTAAAGCTGCACTATTCAATGAACAACAAATACTAAAACGTGTGTCACTAGCTTAAGAGTTGTCAGAGTTGTCAGCCTGAAAGTGAATGACCTTTTTCAGGCTTCACGTATATAAAACAAGGGCAACGACCGTTTTCTAGGAAATATCTGTTCGGAGCTCTCTCGAACGCCTTAAATTTGGTGACAGTTTGTTGGCCTCAGAGTTTCGGTATTTGTATGTTTTGTTCACCTAACAATTTCGTAGGCTTTTTATTTTTTAAATTCAGATTTCGACTCCTAAAAATGTCTGCAACTCACTTGAAAGCTCACCGGTGAATAAGGAAAGGGAAAACGGTTGACTGACGATTGATTCACTGAAGATCGAATGAACCCAAAAGAATCCCTCACTGATCCTTACAGCTGTCCCTAGATTCCTAATAATTCCTGGAACAAAAATTAACCCTAAAAAAATGCCATGCCGAATTTCCGAGCCTCAGACAGCTTAGATCAGATGAAACGGTAAGGATTTCGTGAGTTGAAGTATACGAAAGGGTAGGAACGCCATTTAGGTTTTTAAAGGGCCTATAACTGAACTATCTCGAGCTGACGCGTCTTATGGCTATATCAAGTTAATTTTTTAAACGCTACATAAAATAACAAGAAGACTTGTCGTTAGTAGCAACCAAATTATGCACTGAAACACACGTACCAACTCCGTGGTATGGCCAGTACCTTACGCATGCGCACAACCATATCACCCCAGCAGTGACAGCCACGGACGGCTGCTTCGCCCTTCGCTTAAAGTAGTGCTTTGCACTCGCCTCGGCAGTTAAGGGTCTTTGGTACGCGGGTTTTCTCCCCGCTCATTGACCCGACGGCTATGCCATGCTGATGAGCCCCAATAAGGGCGAAACAGCTGTCCATGGGTGCCACTGCCGGGTCGATATGGTTTTGCGCATGCGTAAGGTACTGGCCATACCGCGGAGTTGGTACGTGTGCTTCAGTGCATAATTTGGCTTGTTGCTAGCAGATATGTGAAAAGGGTACCATTTGTTGATAGAAGGCATACGAAAGGCTTCCCCGGAGTTATACTACACACCTTCATCGTGTCTCTTCTTATAATATTCTGGGGTAGTAACTAAGAATGGCCTTGACTGCACTTGTCCCGTTAAGCCTGAGCTGAGCTCTATTTTGATGATCAGTTCCCATTTATTTCTTTCCAGGATATCTCCTGTTTCCAGCCAGTACACCCCAAATCCATCTTTTGTCGCCGAACTGAGATCAACGATGACCACTTGACGTTCTCTATCATTCCGTAACATGCGAACTTCCAGCTCCACGGCACCTGAAGGAAATTTACAATTCGCTCAAATAAATTATTTGGACATGGCAGTTTCTTTAATATGGAAGGAGTTCTAAGTGAATAGCTTATAGTCAAGGGGTTGGGTATACGAAACGCCAATCAGAGAATTATGCACCTTCTTAAAATTTGCATGGACCCTTTTCCAGCCAGATGGTGTAAGTGACCTTACTTGTGACTATATGTTCCCACTTGGGACCCGGGAACGAAACAATCTCGTTCCCAGATTCCGCGTTACCCTTGCCCAGCGGAATGGAATCTGAGAACGAGATTGTAATTATTCTTGCAATATCTACGCATGCTGACTTCAGCTGTTTATTTATTTATTCATTTATTTATAAACTTCGCCAAGAGGCCTCACAAAGCAAGCTCCATTACGAGGCCCAGAGAAGAAAAAAGAAAAGAAAAAAGAAAATTAGAAATACAAATACTAACGGAATGACAATACTTTAGAAACGACAAAAAACAGCAATGAAAAACAGAATTGGGGAGGACAACTTATACGATCGAGCAAGCTGTTCAGTGGCCGACTAGTGTGGCACCTAATACACACACTCTTAAAGGTCTGTGGGGTGTCGACATCAGTGAGAAACAAGTAGTAAAAGATCTTATTAAAGTGCGCTACTGAACAGTCAATGTTCCGGAGGAGGGCTGTTAAAGCATTCCAGATTCTTGGGGCTCTACAGTAGAAACTGTTCTCAGAGGTGACGGTGTTGGCTCTAAACGTATTCAGCAGCGTACCATTGGAGGAGACAGTGCGCCTGGGTTGCGCCTGGGTCTAGTGGAATTCATTACTGAAATAAAAAAATCGGATAGACTAACTAAAACTTTGAATACGTACACCAAATATAAAAGTTCGTGCCAATAACATACTGGTAGTAGCCCAGTTTTCAAAAGCCTCTGCTTATACCTAACTTCAGACCGATACGACAAAGACAGAATGAATTTTGTTGGACGGCACTGAATTCTTTCGATGTCAAGGATAAGATTGACAGCTTGAGGAGCCCACACCTCTAGCAGTATGCAAGGTTACTGCGAACTAGTGACGTGTAAAGTAACTTGCGAACTCTCTGGTCATGAGTGTCGAAAGCTGATCTCCGAATAAAGCCAAGCATCCTGTTGGCCTTCGAGCAAGCTCCCAGCACTTGGGAGTTCCATTTCAGATGTCTTGTTACTAAAACTCCAAGGTCCTTCGGATAATTGATAGGGGAAGTGAAATGGGCTAGCATTTCTGGTAATAGAAAGTAGCCCACACTTGGATTGATTAAGATCATTGGCCATGCAGAGATCATACCATTGGTTAATGTGGTCGAGATTGCGCTGTAGGTAAGCACCATCCTCCATGCTTTTGATTGACCGGTAGCACTTCGTGTCGTCGACAAAGAGAGCAACAGATGTTGACGTCGCCACGTCAGGAAGATCATTTACATATATGAGAAACAAGAGTGGACCAAACATTGATCCTTGCGGCACACCTGATAACACAGGGAGAGATTTAGAGTTGACCCTGAGAACGATGACCCTTTGGACGAGGTCAGTGAGATCGAACCAAGACAAAAGGGTACCGCGGATGCCGAATCGGTGGATCTTCTTGAGCAGTAGTTTGTGGTTAACCCTGTTGAAGCCTGCTTTAGCGAAGTCAAGATAGATAGCATCAATCTGTTGTATCTTTCTAATTTTGTTATCCGCGAACATGTGTTTACTCTAATTGTTGTTGGTTTTCTCTTCTTCTCAAAAACCAATATTTACTAATTCCAATTCGATCCGGACAAAGAACCAGACTTATTATTTTGATAGCTGGGGAAAACAGCCCACAATATAAAATGGCCTGAACAGGGAACAGGAACCATTCGTAAAACTTGGTCGCGATGTAACGTGAAAGATCGAAGCAACAGAAAGCCGGGTACGTCACTTGAAGACTGTAAAGCGCGCGGAAAGGACTGAACCCGACTTCCGTTGCCCAATTTGCCGCTCTGCCATTGGTCAAGCTGGTCTTTGATCTTAAACGTAAAAAGGTCGGCGAAGTTCAACATTTACGTTTACGCGCGACCTTTCTTACATTAAAGCATTTAACAAGAAAAATATAAATAAAAGTTAAAAGCGTTACTAGACGTTTCGATGTTTCAAACATCATGATCAAGCTTAAGGGTTGATTTCCAATGTCGCATAATTTTTACGCGCGTAAATTAAATATGGACGGTCACGCGTAAGCGTGAAAATTGAGCGAGGTTCATCTTTTACGTTTACGCGTGGCCTTTCATACATTGCTTCTATTTCATTTACGCACGTAAATTTTACGTGCATTCGCGCGGAAAAATTACTCGACAATGGAAATCAATCCTTATGTTTCAAAGTTCTGTAAATAGCTGAAGTTTGAATAATTAGATTGTTTTCGTGCATGTTAATTCATTATTATGTGGATTTCTAGAAAAGCTTAGCGAGAATCGAATCCGATTGCACGTTCAGTGGTGGTTTGCGTTCTTGTATAAATGACACCTCGTGGACAAGGCGTTCGAATTTATTTCTGCATTTTTTGAGGACCGAGAAATTGTCCGTGAGGGTTGGATTCTCGACCCCATGTTTCTCCATGAGGCTCCCGATCGAAGAATTTGAGCTTGTGTGTTCGCTGATGCGTTGATGTACCGATTAGTGAAACCGACATTGTCCATATCTCTTGATGTCGCATAGACCACATTTAAAATTATATACAACGCATTGCTCATGTACGATCTTCTATTTCGGTTCCAAAAAAATAATAAAATAAACAAATAGATAAAATAAAATAAATTGAAAACGGTTAGCCTGTACACAGACGTTGCTTTATTTTTCTTTTCGATAATTGGCGAGCGCTTGCGGTCATTTAATTCCCCGCTGTTCTCATTTTTATCACCCGTGCTCGGAGGCCTTTTAAGAGAAAATAGAAGGTCTGTGAACAGGCTGAAAAACGGTCACAAGTCTTATTGAAACTAGAGCATTAAATACCTTTCTGTTAGCAGCGACCTACCTGTAGTATCGTGTGTCCTTCTCGCTGCATCAGGGCATCTCTGTGTAAAAGCACGAACGTTACTGATTTTTTCGGACGCTTGTATCATGACTGTGACTTCTGAGTCTAACAAATGATCTTTTACTAGCCCTTTGAGAGTTTGTCTTCGCCTTGTCTTCTTATAGCATTCTTTAAGGTCTAATATCTGGATTTCAATGTCATCTGCAGGAATCGTGTTTGACGCCTCGTGAGGACTGGTAATCAGGCTGGTGTCCCACTCCTCTGTAAAAATTGTTATAACAAATAAGCGAGATTTAGGTGACATTGTCTGAGAAAGTGTTCCAGGGGCCAAACGTTGTGGTCAACCGATTTGGCTGAAACTTGGCTCAGAAGTTGGGTGTGATGGGATATTTCAAAAGCCATTTTGGCTCACTTCTCTGACTTTTAGTTTTGGAGTTACAGGGGGGTCTCATTTTTTGCCCTTTGAGCACCAGAAATCCAGCCTTCCAGGGGGCATTTTGAAAGTGCCATAAGACCCCACTGGTAAATTGTGCTGCCAAATGAATTTGACCATGAACTCTACTATAATAGAGCTTTCAGTTTATGCATGAAACTTTGTCCTCAAGGTATTGCACAGAGAGGAGCCTGGGGCTAGAGTTTGGCCAAAATTGATGCTAAAATTACAACCCAAAATAGCCATTTTTCAAACTTTCAATATATTCACCTGCCTTCTTGCATAACTTCCATACCTATACCACTGTTTACTTTAGTCACCCAATTATCAAAATCAGTTGAGAAAAATTTAGCTTATTATGGTTTGTTGAATTTTTGGAACAAACACTTCAAGCCCCTCTAGGGAGATGCAAAATGGAATTTTGAGCATAATTCAGGCCACAAACAAACCAAATTGTTGACAAGAAGCCCTTATTCTGTATTTGGTAAGTGAAAATGAATTGTCAAAGCCAAATCAGTTTCGTTGTTTAGAAATACACCGACTCTTACCTTAAAATTGATCTAAAACGGGCCTCTGATTAGCACAACAAACACATGATTTAGCAAAACAGGGGTGATTTTTTCCTTTGAAAACCTAGTAACCATCATCGAACACAAATGATGATGTTCTGACCTACATATAACGATCTTTTTACAAGATGCTTAAATTTTTCTTTGATTTATATTCAGTGTCATGTCATATTTCTAAGCATTACTCCAAGCATGGAAAGTCTCCATATTTTGTCAGGCCCATTTTTCTTATAGTTTCCCTAGATAAAGTTAGCTTAACAGAACGTTCGTTAACATATAATCTTCGTCTGACCTTGTAATAGCCTGAATAGTCTTTGCAATAAATCTAGTAAAAACATTCGAAATTACCACAAAGCAACTAAAAAATATTATTTCACACATACTCAAACAAAAACAAATTCGAAAGAAGACAAAAACCCAAGTTTTCTTGTTATTACATTTTTGCACAATCAACAGCTGTAATGTCACGTCACTTTGTCACGCGAAGTCACACAATGAGAAGAAATACTGTTCCAAGCTTCTTGTCAAACCGTACAGCGGACTTTCAAGTGAAATTCAAACTGTTTATGTAAGAGTAACATAAACGGAACACTTTCAACATGGTGGCCGATAAGCCAATAAGTGGTAGTGGTTTGAATGGTTCTTGAATGGTTCTTGTTTATGCAGCTCCAAAATGCACAAGTCCATGGCCATAATACTAGAGCAAAAGGGCATCTACATAAGATTTTTAGCAGAACAAATTATGGAAAATACTCTACTAAAAACAAAATAATTGATATCTGGAATAGAATACCTCTGAACATAAAATGCTCGTCATCTATAAAAATATTCAAAAGGAAATTAAAACTTTTTCTCTTATCCCATGTGGCTATAGTAGAGTAAATAAGTACTCAAATATATTCATAGTGAAATATTTTTAATAAATGTATTATATGATTATTGTAATTATTGATCTCTCTATTAATTACCTATTTCACCGACTCGATTTCAGTAATTCAAGTAGATCTTTCAAACCTTTCTCCTATCCCATGTAGTGATAGTACTGTAAATAAGTACTCAGTACAGAGTGAAATATTTGTAATATATGTGTAAGATCAATTATTGTATCTCTGTCCGTTAATTACCTATTTCACTGATACCATTTCAATGAAATTATTACCTTCAGGGAGACTACTTGTAAAAGCCCGTAAGGGTTTCTTTAGTCTTCCTCCCAAATTTATTACATTGTAACACACCGTATGTACTGTATAATATTATCGGAAATAATAAACTCAAACTCAAACTCAAAACTAAATAGTTCATTAGTAACAAATGTATTATTTGTACAACTCGAAGATGTGGAGGGGGTTTTAATGCGTATTGAACTAGATCCCCCGCCGTGTATTTTAGGTATATTTTGTCTTAATTTTCATTGAATATTATCTGTGAGAAGTCTCAAGTCGCTGCCCTTCTAATCTCTTAATTCTGACGCTTACGGAACCGCCAAACACGTTGAAATCAGAATATTTATTTTTAGGTAGATATACCGTTGATTTATTTACACATTTTAAAGCAAGGCCCATCTCTCAAAAGTCTTGGTTTGATATCCCGAGCTAAAAACGATGACATCGGTATCTGTAAGATTTGAAGAAATGACGGCAAGTCACCGTGTGGGATACTTCGACGAGAAGATCACACTCGGCACAAATTACTAGTCCACGCGTCGTTCGTAAATCCTGTTTAAATCCTTTCGCCGCTCCTTCACGAGCAAATACAAATTCATCGACGATACTCGATACTTGAAAAAACTTGTTCATGCAACCGCATCAAACTGAACTATCAAGCTACAAAGAAGAAAATTTTGTGACCGACTGAATCACAACTATGTCATGTGCTCGAAAACAAAGAAAATACATTAACATAATTAAAATTCGCGGGAAAAAGACACGACACACCGGTTTGAATTACAGAGCGAACCCAAAGACGATCATCAACATATCAAGGAAATTGAGGAAATGTCTCAGCCGAAAAGGGTTTTATTTTAAGTCACTTAACCTGAAAAAGCTTCTTCTACTAAACAAATAAATAATCGTGGCAATATAATACAGTTACAGAAAGAAACAGCTTACCTTCCTCCATCGTGCTCGCTCCTGCTTGAAAGCGGCGCAGCTAAAAGCACGCGAAACTGCTTTTACATCTGCCGGTAAACATGAGCCCGTGATTTTCTCATTTCCTACCCATCACCCTTGCAGGTACACATCAGTGCAACATATGATGGTGATGCATAGTGCACATGATGAGAGGAAGCAGGAAACTATAGTAAAAATTTTACTAGAAAATTGAGGTACAAGTAAAAAAATAACACTCAGTCTGCACAGTCTGCACAGTCTGCACGGTCTGCACAGTCTGCAGTCTGCATGGTCTGCGTTTCAACATGACCGCTTAAAACGACCTTTGTTACCTGCACAATCGAACTGGATTTGGAACTTGTGTTTTGATTTTGCCGTTCTGCAAATGCACGTCGGCCCAGTTTTGAAGAGACTTATGGCGGATTTCCTCGAAATAGAACAAATTTTACACCACGTTAGGAATCTTCTGTTCACTGTGTATTTGGAAACTACACTCCTCAAGGCAAAAGTATACATGCATTTTAAAAACTAGATTTGTGGACCCGAGATTAAACTTGCCCTTGAGGAGCTAGAGGACAATTTTTAACACGGTAAGGCAAATTCTCATACATTTGTTTTTAATTTTTTTCGCAGCGTTTTGAAAGCTAAGTCCAGAAAGTAGTGCGTTTCGCATGCGCGGCGGCCATGATGCACGAAATTGTTCGCCATGTTAGATTCTGAAATATTATCATTTCCACTTCACTTTGTCTGCAGAATTTTTGTTTAGGAACGTTGTTTTTCTCAAATCCGTCGGGAAATATGTTTTGGGTGACAGTAAGGTTTCATGTACGTGCTTTAGACAAATGTTTAAGAAATGTTTGACTGAGTAAGGCTATGATCAACAATTTTTCGCTTTGCATAGTTTTAGGTCTGGCGGTACAACCTCTATTGTATCCAATCTAAAGAATTACTCGTCAAAAGAGCGCTTGTTGAAATTACATGGTCGTTGGAAGTCCGATGCGGCCAAAGATATGTATGTTAAAGAAAAGGTTCAGGAGAGGCTTAATGTTGCTCAGAGCACTAGGTGTTTAGTAACACCCCAGAGCACTGGAGTTTAGTTTCTTTGCTTGTAACTGTATTTTCATTCATCCACTGTTTTTTGTACCTGCTTGCTTGGAATAAACGTCTTGCGTAGGTGCTTGTTCTACCTGAAACAAGCTACCCAACCTGTATTTTCTGTAGTTGTCTTTTGTC